GGAAAATAGCATTAACATGGGGCAGAGTCTGCGCTAGGGTCTATGATGTTCTCCTGGCACGGGGACTTTTGTCTATGTGCCTGGAGATAAAATTCTTCAGGACAGTCCTGAGGTCTAGCTGATGTGTGCTATGAAATAGTGGGGTAAACTGGAATAACATCTTCCATCTTAGATTGTTTTCAATGGTACCATAAACTGCTCAGCTACTAAAATTACTAAATATTTACTGATAGAGGAATCAATTAATTTTTGCATTTGGATATGAAAGTAAGATGGAATAAAAGGAAATATGACCTTACAAATAATGTTAGCTTGATTATCTCGTAAATTTTTTCAGAAAGGGAGGTGTAAGTTTGCTAGTAAGTAGGAATGTAATAATTTAAAATTGTTTCCTTAGAAGTACAAGTTTATTTAAACAAAGCGTAGCCTTTTCTACTTCCTTTTCCTGTGGCTCATTATGGCATAACAGGAGCTTATCTATCCGTCCTCTCCCCTTCACTGGCAGCCATCCAATGGGAAGAAACCGCCAGGGTAAGTCAGGGAATCATGGACGTGGGAAGGCACCTCTGGAGATCCTCTAGTCCAACCGCCTTTTTTCTCCATTTCACCTTTAACAAACTAAAAGCCCTTCATTATCTTAAAATGATTTAACCTTAATCTGACCCAGTAATTCTATGCATGCAGAAACTCAAGAGTTTTCTGTTTGGACAGTGGCAGTCACCAAGCTTCCCCGGGTTTTCTTCTAAGCACATCGGAGGGCTAGGAACAAAGACAGTCTCTGGCAGAGCCAGAACTGAGATTCCCCAAACGTCAGGCCTGTCGGTGTGCCATGCAGTCAAGTGGGTGCCAGTGCCAGACCAAGGAGAGCGGCTAAAGCAAGCGGTCCGAAGCTGGGAGGGAGGAGGATTGTTAAGGAGAGGAATACAAACTTCACTGTTTTGGCAGCAGCAAGCTATTAGTTTGGTTCAAACCATATTGTGGTAATAATGGCTTCAACCCTTGAATGCGTTTCCACTTCGGAGCTGTTCCGTGCAAAACCAAACCCCCAGACTTAAATGTTTGAGGTGGTTTATGTGAATCATGCAGGTTTGCATTTCTGATGCCATTTTTTCTGAAGCTTGTAATAAGAAATTGGAATTTGCAATTTGTAAAAACATTTTTGTTACTTATTCAGGTCTTTCGAAGCCAGTAGCACTTTTTTCAGGGAACACTGTTAATGCCTGGTAAAATTCAAGCTGCTTTAATGTACTATTCAGAATAATCCTCTGAAAATCTTGTTTTTAAATACAGCTAATGTATAAGTTGCCGTATATTTTTCAATAAATGGTTATTCTTTTTTTTGCATTCTTAAGCTAACAAAACTTTGTCCAATTTAACATCCTGTAAACTATAAAATACGGCCCCATGATTAAACATCACTTTATAACTAGTTAACCGTCTTACTACAGTTTGAGTTGAGCAATTCAAAGTACGATTATAAAGTCAAGTGAGTTTTGTACTAAAAGCTTGCAGCCATTTTTGTATGTTTTTGTTGCGCTGACCATGGAATGTTGGAGCAATGAGTGTTTTCAGGAGAGGTTTTTTTTAACTTGTTGGCTACTATTTAATTGCTGTTCTTTAAAATGTGTTAGTATGGAAGGACCAGTTTCACTTGTAGCTCACCCACAAGACATGTAATTAATCTCTGATGTCAAGGATTGTAAAGATTTTACAGCAGAGAGCGTTTGGCCTGGTGAAACGGGAGGACCCAGCTGTGTGTTTTCTCAGCGTACGCTGAGGGAGCCTTTTTGCCTTGCAAGTAGGAGTAACAACTCACGGACGCAGGAGTACAAAAAGGCATTAACTTGTTGATGCTGAGAAAAAGTGTATTTTGCTAGTGCTAAGTGTATTATATAAAACATAAAGTGCATTAACCAGTTCAGATAAGTAATGACCTGTGCCCTCAGTCTGTCCAAACAAGCATCTAAATAGAAATAGAACAAAGCATGGGCTTGTGGGGGGGGTGGGTTTTTTGTTGTTTTAAGGCTCTGTATGCTTGCAGATGATGGTTCTGGGTATGATCTTGACTCGGGCAGAAATACAAACATCAAAGCTTCTTGGAACCAAGTATACGCTAGTGGGGAGTAACCCGGTGTGGCCATTTTGCAAGATTTCCAGTATCTGCACAAAGACAGTAGCTCTGAGTATTCCCCTGAATTTCAGCTAGCCCAGCAGAAGGTAATGCAATGAGGTCACCAAGGATAGTTGCAAAAAGGAAGAAAAATTGGCTGGTGTAGGTTTTATTCCTTTCTGAAGCCCCAAGAGTAAGACTTTCTCTGTTCACTGATAAGGTTTTTAAATTTTTTTTTTTTTAAAAAAAGCCTGGTTTCCTAAGTAGGGGAGGCTGATGGGATCCCACTCTTTTATGCCCCACCCTAACAACTTTTGCAGGTGCTTTTCAATTCATCCAAATTCAAGAGAATAGAAATTTCCCAATGCTCATACAAACATAATCTTTGAAAAGGAATGAGTGGTAGATGAGAAATTAGTGTTCCCACTGAGAAAGCGAACGATAGCCGTCCAGTCAGCAGCCTTAAGCGAGCCGGCTGCAGCGCACGCTGCATCCCTTCCAGCCAGGTGAGGCGGCAGCTGAGCGGGGCAGCTTTGGAGACAGGAATTGTGCATATGACAGCGTGTAAGCCAGGTAACAAAGCGAGGCTTTCGACTCGATCTTAAAAGCAACGTGGCAAAGCGTTTTGGAGCTCGAGTTCAGAACTGGGACAGCTGCATTTGCACAGCACTGCTCCAACCTGAAAAATATGCCTGCCGAGCCCGAGTCCGCTTGCACATAATTTGTTTCTTTGCAGTGAACTTTTTTTTTTCCAAATACTAGATGCCTAGCTCGTGCTAGCACCTGAAGCATGGTGATTTGCCTTGCAGAAAAGTGAATGCAAGGGTGGGGTTGTCTTTAAGTACTGTGCAAGTTATTTTACTGTGTTTGAGGTTCTAACTAGTGCTATTTAGAACTAGATGAAAATTTCTTCCATGCTACATGTAGCATGCTGTGTTTTGTTTTTAAAAAGAATCCTTATGCCTTTTCTGGAGGAACTCTTCTAAAGCCGTATTCCAGTTTTAGAGTGGAGTTACCAGGGTGCAGGCTGGACGACTGCTTTAGGGAGTGTCAGGAAAACATACTTTCATGACACAAAACCAGCACTCAAAGTAGGTAAATTGCTAGAGAGCTGTGTGCAAGTATCAGTTTCTCTACATTTATGATCAGTTTGCATTTCTGATGACTAAATCGTGAGCAGCATCTGCAGCTGTAAATAACCCCCCTGCCACATCAGTCATTCATCTAACTTGCTGGGTGCTTCTGTAACCTATTGTTTTTTTAACATTTGTTGAGCTATTTAGAATTATATAAGGGTGATAGCCCTTCTACGGGGAGGGTGGTACAGGCTTTCAAAGCAGAGTAAGACTCTATTATTCTCACTCCTGTAGCTTAAAAATACGTATGTTCGCATGAAATTGGGAATGCTCGCTTCTGGAATTTTAGTTTCTTGGTGGCTTCCCCCCCACCCCCCAAACAGTAAATATTTCCTCCTCCGTGAGTTTTCATTTGAAAGTAAAAAAAGCTGAAAAACAGTGAGGTGGTTACTCAGATCAAGGCTTCTGGCCTTTACTTATTAACCAGCCTTTCGCTTCAAAGCCTAACACCCACACTGAGGTGTTTTC